ATAATCTCATCTCCAGAATCTAAAAGCATTGTCTCCGAAGGACTCCAAAAACATGACATTGTTGTAAACACTCAGAAATGTCAAACTGACACCGACTCTCCACATTGTCTCGAACATACAATTGATGCTCAAGGAATCCGACTGCTGAAAAACAAAGTGGCAGCCAATCAGGATTAAACAGAACCGAGCACAGTCAAGTAATCACGCGTTTTCAACGGCCTGGTTCATGCCAAATTAATCGGCTCTCATGAGACCTTTAACTATAAACTCCGTGGAAATGCGAAATCCATCAATTTCAGTGATATCACAGAAAGAGCACTCTCCATAATCAAGGAAATTGTCACAAAAACAACTACGCTTGCACATCAGGATACTGAAATGCGCATTAGTATCGCAGTAGGCGCATTCAACTTGCCAATCAGAGTCTTAGAAAAAGTAGTAAACAATACTGAGCAACCCTTGACATTATTTGCGAGACAGATGATGGACACCTAATCGAAGTGTAGTGTTTTCGTCAGGGACCCCCTAGTCATGTGTTGTGCTGTAAGGATTTTTCAGCACTCTGTAAAAGGCCATTAGTTTACCCTTTTCGCCAACCACAAACCTTTTACTTTCTTTCCAAACTTGATTTCATGTAAGTACTCCCCTCGACAGTCTCGGCAAATAGACTACATTTTGAAAGTTACTTCAGATATACAATATATTTCTGGAGCAAAATATGTGGTTGCGGACGTTTTGTCTACTATACGTTCCTTTGAACAGTTTCCAAGGAATCGACCTTCTTAAATTTGCACTGCTTCAAAAAGAAGACACTCACCTTCAGCACAAGTTTTCTTCAAAAATCCTGGAACTGCATATTAAACAGATGGGAACAAGTACGGAAACTTTAATATGTGGCATATACTCATGTCAGGGCCGCCCAATCGTGCCAAAATATTATGAACGCAACGTCTTGAATACATTCCACTAGCTTTCTCACCCAGATGCATGTGCAAACATTGAGCTCATAGCAGAACGATTTTGCTGGCTTGGTGTGAATGAAGACGAGAGGGAGTGGGCATGCTCCTGTGCAGGCTGCCAGAAATGTAGGTTGATTAGACACAACAAATACAAGTATAGGGTTCTGAAGATTATTAAGTTACTGATAGAGATCATGAACCGATTGATGTTAGACCACCATTGAAAGCCTGGAAACACTGGATGGCCGTTTCTTTCTATTGTCGGACTCCTCAGTAGCGCTCATCTACGATCCCGCTAGCGGGATTTGAACTCGTAGCCATCAGTCTCGCGCGCGAACGCTCAACCTACTAGATCACTGTGCCGGTATCTAATGGTGTTATTGTCTAACCTCAATCAATCCAATTCCGTTTTCCTAGCACCCTACTAAGAATAAAATGATTTCTAAAGACCCCCTATTACCTACGAGCCAACGGGTCGGTAAATTGATTTAACGACAGCTTAAAGCTTCACTCTTAACTAAAAATGTTTCACGGAGTGATTACGCACTTTCACTCATTTTACTTGGTATTAGCAATGCATTGGAAGCCTAGATTGGATGCACTGTAGCTTAACGGAACGATACCGTGACTTTTAGAAAAATTTGTGGGCGTTTCATTTTCTTCAGGAAATATGGATCTAAATTCTCACATGAATAAGCTTGAAAACATCATGCGTTCAGTTAAACCTGGAACATGATAAACACACAAAGTAGGATTTACTTGCCTATATTCATCTTAAAGTAGGTGCTAAGCAATAGATGGAAGAGGTCACAAATGCATGTCACGCGCGCATATAGACGCTTAGATGAGAGTATATATATCCCATGGAAAACATACAAGTTTAGATGTGTTCGCCATTTGCCTAAATCCAGCGGGATTAATCAATGCACTAAAACACAAGTAACCGAATCAGTTGAACTAAAATTCGTCTCTTGACGAAGTACTCCTTCAATTTCATATTGAAAGCTGCATCGGTGATTCAGCTAAAGTAAATGCAAAGATTCAGTTTATACGAATACAAATTAACAAAATCATCTTACCTGATACTCCACATAAGCATACTTACAGCCTCACCTCTAAGTCCACAATGCTGTTAAGCTCACTCTCTTTAAGGGAGACGCAAACCTCCCAGAAAAGGTTCAAAGACGAGTGCCTTATTGTTTGGTGAAGTTATTGAACGAATCCCACAGACAGACTTGGACACTTAGGATTATTCTTACAGAGTTATAATGGAACAACACGTGATGTGATAAGGACATTCAACCTACTATGTTCGCCAAGGTACTCAAAAGCGAACATCCTACTAGAACATCAACATCATGTCCCTCGAGTCAATTCCGACAAATCGCTCATCAAAAAGCAAAAGCTCAGGCACTCTCTCGCCCCTTCTCATTCAGAGTTGTCATCACTCGGAATGCTTTTCTAGTCGAAGTGTCCAGAAACTCTTCATAGAGTGGCTTTGAGAGGAGACTTTATAAATGTCTACTAGCCCATGGATTACAATCTCGTGCTTCGATAAGCTGTGCCTAGTGCATGTCTCGTAACTTACTGTTATATCCTGACGAGAATCATGAATGGTAACTCTTGAGAACTATTTATGGACCAACACCATACATATATTTTTATTGTATAATTATGAAATAGCTGAACTATGCGTATGCACGTTCCTCTTATTGTGAGCTTTATTTTGACCCCTAGACTATTACTATACGATTTACCGCCCTTGAGTTCTGTCCAGTCTATTCATTACAGTCTCCCACGCACAGTCACTTTTGGTTATATCTATGTACAAATGTTGTTTTCTATTTTGTGGCGTGATGCGGCCTGTTTGGTTTCATTATAAACCCAGTATGCTTGAAATACATGATCCATATCACGGAGGCTGAGATTGGTGTTCTGCACTTAACAGGTGGGGCTGGGCAGGAAGGAGGACCGATAAGAACCCTAGAATGCTCGTACGGGTTTTATGCGTCATTGGTCCAGTCGATAATTCACTGTTCTTAAATTGGTGGTATCATTACATTATATGTTGGTAGGTGGACAGGGTCACAAGTTATAACACTTACCTACTGTCATTGTTACCAACACACGTCATTAACTTACTTCCATCTCTCTTATTCTTATCTCCGTTTCCAATCTTATTCGGTTTTTCCATACTATCTGTATTACTAATCGATTAATTTGTTTAATTAGTCCTTGTAACAATCGTCTTCTCTCGGAATTCGAGTTTCACTTTTATGTTTTTACATCGAAACTAACAAACCAACCCCTTATTTTTTAATGCGGTAGTTTTTGATATCCAGAAACCCTACTGCTCAAAGAAGAACGCAATCGCTCAGATTACACAATATACAAACCAACGAATAACTAGTGAACTGACAGTGACGCTGCTAACAATCTGGCCCAACAATATTCCTGGACATTTAAATCGACTTACATTAACTATATTTATGGAAGCTTCATCTTCCATTGCACAAGACTTTCCGAAGTGAACCTGAGCGCTGACTTGTTGTTCCAGAAAATGAAGCATTTCTGCCGGTCCAAATATGTTTCATTCTGCTATACTGAGGGAAGAAGATTCGATCCTGACAACACTGCTTAGCGTGATTTTCTCACACTCGCTAATCCGAGGCAAACTAGCGGAAAATTGGAAGCTGACTCACATCACACCAATTTTCAAAGGAGGTCAACACAATTGATCCCCAAGCTACCGATCGGTGGCTCTTATATGTCTTGTCAATCAGCTCAAACAATTGGGTATCGGACCATCTCTAATTGATTGGCTCATTTCATATCTGAAAAAATCTACATTTGAAGGTCAGGGTTAACTTCACTTCATCCCAGGCTATGGAGTTTCCGAGTAGGGTCCCTCAGGATTCCGTACTGGGACCGTTTCTTTTCTTGATTTATATAAATGATCTTCTACAACATGTATCGCCAGACTTATTGCTTTTTGCTGATGACGTGAAACTTTGGAGGGAGATACGCAACCAAGACTATATACAGGCACTTCAGGAGGATCTGACCCGACTTCAAAGTTGAACAGATGACAACAGACCTTAACACTTCAAAGTGTGAAGTTGTCCAAACTACAGTTACAACCTAGTAAACTCCTCCCTAGTAGTGTCCCAAGCCGAAAAGATTTAGGAGTGCTGGTATCTTACGATTTAAAGTCACACTCTAACTGTGACTAAAATGCCTTTCGAGAAAACCTTGTACTGGCAACATTCAAGCGCATTTTTGTCGAGTTTGACGGAAGAACCTTCCACAAAATCTTCAACATTTTCATTCGTCTCCATTCAGAGTACGGAAACAGTATTTTCTTCCAAAGGGATAAGGACACTCTGGAGCGAGCCACAAAATCAGTTCGGAGACTTAAATTCAAACATTATGAAGAGTGCTTTCAATCATTTAACCTTTACACACTAGAGAGCAGGCGTCTTAACGGTGACCTTCTGATGGCTTACAGTATCCTTGACACTTCTGGACATCCCCCTAAACGCCTACTTAAGTTTAGCTCCAGCACAAACCCAAGTGGTAACGCCCAAAACTAGAGACACAATACAGAAGAACGGGCTGTAGACACAAATTTTACACCTTAAGACTTGTCAAATACTGGAATTCGCTGCCGACTGTGCTAGTCCAAGCGACTTCCAGGAGTCATTTAAGGGGCAACTTGACCTGTTCTTAAGGACTACGGATAACATCTTATTATGAGTTTCCAATTTCTTTTTTTCAAATCTATTATAGTTAATATACCTAGGTTCCTGCTTGGAGGCATTAGTGATCTACTGCTACTAGACACGGAAGCCTGTTAAGCGAAAGCTTCTTCTATTCCGTCCACAACCATTTGAACCATTTGACTAAAAGAAATGCAGTCGGGTGACTAGACTACCACCCACTGGATATTACCAAATACCTGGAACCGTAACGAAGCAACAGGTAGGGACCTCAAAGAAATCAATCAGTTTATACATGCTCGTCACACAGTTACTGGTTTTATTGGAACTTTGTGCTGTGCGCGTTTCTTGACATGTACGCTTCTTTCATATTTGTCGTATTTTTAAGGTTGTCCTTCGCCTACTTTCTGTTCCTTTTTCGGAAAGCACGTATAGATTATCTAGAAGTAAATTTAGCTAGTGCGAGGGGTTTATTTATATTTATGAAACAAAATATTCGAACAGTCCTTTCAATTTGAAGCTATGCAGTTTATATATATATATATAGACGGACATTGTAAATTAAAGTCATTATATAACTTCGCAAAAATAAGTAAAACCGAATTTTATTCCTTATTTCTTTGTGCTTGGAAAGCTTATTTCTAATGTGTGGATCGATCGATATTAGTTAATGTGTTTTAAGTATAATGCCCACTATTCTACTAGCCTTATGTCTTTTCAAGGAATCCTCTAGTTCTGAAAGAAGGCTTAGAATATTTTCACATGTTCTTTGGAGTGGTCTTTATTTCAAGAACTATCTTCAGAAATTTTTATCTGTGGGATAACTTGTCACTAGAGATCTATTCAGGAAAGAGTACATATGGTCTGTGTTAGTCCCCGCATTAGTTATTCCCGCAAAATCCTGTCACTTTGTAAGTCCCTTCACTTGTGCAGCTAGTATTACGTTTTCTATTAACCTATTTCAGCTGGTAATCGTTTAATAACATTGCAAACTCTTCGTTTAGCGACTTGTATGTTTCTCGGAGTATCGATCTCATCTGTGAAGGATGTAGTGGGTGATTGGATACAGTACTGCATATGAATTTTAACACGACATGGCATGATATTTTAAAATATCTCTGCCAAAGCAACTCGCGACACTGTATTACGGACATAACATCCCAAATCTTTTAGCAAAACTGCACTGCAACTCGCTGTCATCAATTCATGGCTTGTAACGACCCTTAGGGTTCTCGATATTGTATAGTCAGGAACATCACTCACATTACTGATAAAAGTCAGCGCAATTGGTATGCATTGTCAGATTTTGCGTGGAATCACTGCGGGTACGGACTTTTTTACTTAGCAATCAGTTCATCTAATGCAACATGTCGTTCAAAGGTTCACAACTCCCGTAAGTAGCAGCAACCATTTTTGACTATTCACTGATAAATTACTGTTGAGGAAAACCTAAAGCTTCTTTAGAAGTGCAGTTCCTGATGGGTTCCTGCTCGTAAAACAACCAGTTTATACCTACTGTTAAAGCGTTCTTCATCCATGGATGGATGGTCTTTGTAATCTCAGACCTAGTATGATTCTGTATCTGTTTCAGATTAGACAATTAGTAGAAGCCTCTTTAAAACCATCAAATACTACACCTCTGAAATTTCTGTCTCTATTACTTTTTCACTATATAGGGATTTGTTAACAGAAAGGAATTTAATCATTTTAAAATACCCATATCGCTTCAAGTCAGTACTGATGGTAGTCCCGTCATTCCTGTTGCTTATGCTAATGCAGAAAAACAGTTGACTTAAAATATACAACCGAACCAATGAACGCAGAAATTCATGTTTAAAATATCAAAATAAGGTTAAGAATTACTGTTAGGGTTTGGTGTTCAGTTAGAATTTTTATCTTCAACTGACATCAGCTATAAAACAATGATCATAAAACCATATTCCCATACTAGTTCCTAGCATAATAAGTCATCCATTCGTTCTGGCAGCCTTTTGATTGACCGTAAAGTTTAACACTTCACTGTCATTCAAGTGTGTACATTACGTTTACCGGAAAAACAATGCTTTTAGTGGGCTAATTATTGCCCCGATATGTTGATTTATCAACCAAGTTTCAGTACTTAACTTCCATTCCATTCCACACGGTTAAAACATTGTTTATATCACCAGCTTAGATCAGAGATCAGTCCTCGCACATGTCAGTTATGAATATTCATTTCATCGTTTAACTTTCTATGTTTTATTAAATGTTTTTAGTAGAGTATAATCGACCAATCTACAAAAAATTTGGTTTGTTTTTGCGCCTCCTTCCTTCCTCGTATCTCATGACCATGACAGTCACCTGATAATCGGATGGAATGGATAATGTACCATGTTGCTATTGTACCTATGAAGTGCCTTTCCGGGGAGTTTCTTCAGAGCATCCGACGGGTCACTTGCTAACTGCTGTTAGAAATTCTGGGGAGAAGCAATTGTTTGGGAAACCTCTGGATAAAATTTTTCGTTTTGGGTGTTTTGAAGTTGCACACAACAAATTAACATTATATGGAATTTTGGGTTTATCAAATTGGGAAGTATTATTTGTGCCATGTATTAATCTTGGACAAATAAGTAAGGAGAACATTAATGCCACTCGGTTAGTTAGTTCAGGTTGCATTTTTTTAAACAGTTTAATTTTCTCATTGCATGTCCGTTACGCAATGTCGTTTTCAGTTATACGATATCAATTACTAAAGCACTGTTAGGAAATGCTTCGTTTTCCAAACATTTGACTAGATTTTGTTAACTGAAGTACTGCTTTAAAAATTGTGCAAATTTGGAACCGTTCACTAAGGCTCACATTCGGCTTCCTAAAAACTACATTGTTAATAGTCGTTTCTCAAAGCTATACCAAATTATCCTATCAAAGCCCGTGTGATTTGTATTGTGGAGTCATCAGTAGTGGTAACTAGTACACCAACTTTCAGCACAGTCATCAACGATGTGCTACCAGGCGTCATTCCTCTACAACTCAAACCTTGATCCAGATTGATCATATTCGAGTTACATACCACTGGCATCGTTTCATACAAAACTGCCACTTTTTTGGGATACCTATTTTTAATTTTCATCCAGCTTATTTTGCGTTTTGGTGGCCAATAAACGTCTCTGTCTTAACGGATTGATACCAGCAAATGGTCCGTTTCTTCAGTTACAACCAAATGTCGACAGATAATAAGTACTAGTCGGAGACTTGAATGCTCAGGTCTGGAATCTAGGCACATAAGAGAGTCGTTTAGGTGGCCGATGAGGACTTATTGGTCGCAGAACAGATAACGGGGACCGTCTACTGCGGCTGTGCACAGAACACAGCCTGTTTCTGGCTAGCATTAACTTCCAGCACAGTCATCGCCGATGTGCCACCTGGAGTACTCCTTCTGCATCTCAAGCCTGGACTCAGATTTATCACATCGCGATCAGCTACCGCTGGCGTAGTTGTTTACAAGACTGTCGCTCCTTTTAGAGTACCTATCTGAACTCTGATCATACCCTGGTCTGCGCCAATCTTGCCTTACTTTCCAGTGGCCAACGAATTGGTCGTCATAAACGGATTGATGTCAGTAAATCGGTTGCAACTAAGTATGGAACCGAGCTAGCTTCTAGGCTAGCTACCACTTCATTGAAAAGTATAGGTGAGCATTCGTCGCAACTGCATGACGCCATAAAAATGGCGATTAAAGCCACTTACTTACTTACTTACGCCTGTTACTCCCAATGGAGCATAGGCCGCCGACCAGCATTCTCCAACCCACTCTGTCCTGGGCCTCCTTTTCTAATTCCATCCAATTCTTGTTCATCTTTTTCATGTCTATTTCCATTTCTCGGCGTAATATGTTCTTTGGTTTTCCTCTTTTCCTTTGGCCTTGAGGATTCCATGTGAGGGCTTGTCTTGTGACCCAGTTGGGTGCTTTCCTCAATGTGTGTCCTATCCACTTCCAGCGCTTCTTTCTGATTTCTTCCTCCGCTGGGATCTGGTTTGTTCTCTTCCACAGTACGTTGTTGCTAATAGTGTCCGGCCAATGGATCTGAAGTATTTTGCGTAGACAACTGTTAAAAAACACCTGTATCTTCTGGATGATGGCTTTCGTAGTTCTCCAGGTTTCCGCCCCATACAGTAGAACTGTCTTGACATTTGTATTGAAAATCCTGATCTTGATGTTGGTTGCCTATTATTTTGAATTCCAGATGTTCCTCAGTTGTAAATATGCTGCTCTTGCTTTGCCAATCCGCGCCTTCACATCTGCATCAGATCCACCATGTTCATCAATGATGCTGCCCAAATATGTAAAGGTTTTTACATCTTCCAAATCTTCTCCGTCAATTGTGATTGAATCGGTGCATGCTGTGTTGTATCATAGAACCTTGCTCTTCCCTTTGTGTATATTGAGACCTACTGCTGCTGAGGCTGCTGCTACACTGGTCGTCTTCTCCTGCATTTGTTGTTGCGTTTGGGATAGAAGGGCCAGATCATCTGCGAAGTCCAGATCGTCCAACTGCATCCTAGATGTCCATTGTATCCCGTTTTTCCATTCAGAATTTGATGTCTTCATGATCCAGTCGATCACCAGGAGAAAGAGAAAGGGTGAGAGTAAGCAACCTTTCCTAACACCGGTCTTCACTTCGAACGACTTTGTCAACTGTCCTCCATGCACGATTTTGCAGTGTAATCCATCATATGAACTCTGTATGATATTGACTATCTTCTGAGTCACGCCGTAGTGTCGAAGAAGCTTCTATAGTGTTGTCCTGTCCACGCTATCAAATGCCTTTTCGTAGTCAATGAAGTTGATGTAGAGTGATGAATTCCATTCAATTGATTGTTCCACAATGATCCGTAGAGTTACGATTTGGTCTGTACGCGATCTATCCTTACGGAATCCTGCCTGTTGGTCACGAAGTTGGGCGTCTACGCAGTCCTTCATCCTGTTTAACAATACTCTGTTGAAGACTTTTCCCGGTATTGAGAGAAGAGTGATACCCCTGTAGTTATCACACTTGCTTCGGTATTTTGATCAGGAGTCCTTCTTTCTAGTCTTTTGGTACTTGTTCCTCATCCCAAATCTTATTGAAGAAAATGTGGAGTATCCTTGCAGTTGCCGCTACGTCTGCTTTTAGTGCCTCTGCTGGAATGTTGTCCAGTCCTGCTGCTTTGCCACTCTTGATTTGTCTGATGGACATGCTGATTTCTTCAATTGTTGGTGGGCCAACGTTGATTGGGAGGTCCGTGGGTGCTGCTTCGATGTTGGGTGGGTTCAGTGGAGCTGGTCGATTCAAGAGTTCTTTGAAGTGTTCTACCCACCTGTTTTGTTGCTCTTCAATGTTGGTGATTACCTCGCCTTCCTTGCTTTTCACTGGTCGTTATGGTTTGCGGCGATTTCCAGAGAGTTCCTTTGTTATGTCATACAGTTGTCTCATGTTCCCTTCTCTTGCAGCCTTTTCCGCCGTCGTTGCTAAATCTTCCACATATTTACGTTTGTCGATTCTGATACTCCTCTTCACTTGTTTGTTTACTTCTGTGTATTCAGCCACTTACAGCTTCGCAAAACGTCCCGCTTATAAGCACTGGGTTTTTCAGTCTCCTTACAACTCATCGAAGGCCGTCGGTCTATTCCGGGTGACCATGAGTTTGACCACAAACGAAGGATGTTACGTAATGAAATTGGCCAAAGCTTGCGTAAGGACCGAGAAGCCTGGTGGTCGGAGCGCGCTAATGTGCTGGAAGCAGCAGCTGCATCTGGTAACTACCGGGAGCTCTTCCAATTCATCTAAGCCCATGACAGCAAGAAATCTGATTTGAAGGAAGCAATCTGTGAGGATTACGGGATGCCAATCACTAACATCCACCGACGTCTTGGACGATGAGCAGTGTTCTTTGAACGGCAGTTCAACTGGTTTGCTGCTCCGACAACATCGATCGAACTGTTCTGCCCTCCATGATCCGTGACGACTGATCCACCGAATGAGGTGGAAGTCCGCAGGGAACTCCAGCTCTTGAAGCGCTACAAATCACCGGGCCCAGATGATTTACTTCCGGTCTTTTCTAAAGATGGTGAAGACTTTCTGGCTAGGGAACGGACGACGTTGTTTACAAAGGTCTGGGAGTTAGAGAGTGTACCAAAATCATGGAACGAGTCGATAGTTGTCCCTATCTTTAAAAAAGAGTCCTGTTCTCCACATGAATTATATGTATAGCCCAACTTATGATATGAACCCTGTTACGTTTCTAGTATGAAAAATATGATTAACAGAATTCTAGATGGATGAATGTTTGTATCTCAAGAAAAGAATTTTATCGATGTTATGTTCTGTAAACTGAATAGTTTACTTGTGAGAATTTTTCGTCTTAGTGAACATCGTTATCGGTACATAATTGTGAAGAATGTAAATATCTTATAATTGAAATATTTAGTTCAGGCAGCATAACATTTTAGGATAAAAATGTACTAATTTAATTACACTTGTTATATTCTTACGGCCTGTTAACATATCACGGGACTAAACCATCAACTAGAACAAAGACTTGTATAACCTTGGCACTACCAAACCAATGCGAGCAGCCTAGAGTCAACTTCTGAGTTCTTATTAGTTCTCCCGCCTAGCCCTGCCCGTTTTCGTCCAGAACACAATCTTAGCTTGCATTGTATGAATTGTGTATGTAAGACATACGCAGTTTATATACAAGCAAACCAGACCATAACACAATATAAAATATAAAGTAACAATTATACAAGATTAAGCCAAAAAGTGGCTGTGATTGTGAAAGACTGTAAAGATCAATAGATTGAGGATAACTTAAGAATTGTAAATCGTATAATCATGGCCAATTTGAATTCTATTTATAATGTTGAAGGTGATTCATTGACATAAACGGAAAATCGACCATGTATTATGAATTGTATTAATACTCATATAAGAAGTTTATTATTTTGCTAAGCGAAAATTTATGCATTTTTTAAGTGTCACATAGAAATTTTAATACTGATCTAGTGATTTCACAATTCACTGTTTGTAATATTGTAGTATGTATACTAAAGCTATTATCAGATTCTGTCCAATATCATTGACTGGTTATTAAGTCTACCATGTGGATCAGGCTTTTAGGATGAAGGCTCAGAGTGTGGCCCTTTAAGAAAACCGCCTGCTTCGGTTTGAGCACTCGAGTAGTATTCCAGCTGTCACACAAATTGAATGATTTATGTGGCACATATCTATTTGGTACTTACTTGTACCAGTGTTTATCCGTTTAAATAAATAAATAAAAGGACGTACGATTACAAATTGTTAGATACCTACTCACTGGCTCAGTAGTTTCCTACTTACTTGGGTAACTAGAGGTCATGGATTTGATTATCACACAAAGTCATTTGTATACACTGCTAATAAGTACGAATAATCTAAGATGAAGCTGATATCTATTTCCCCTTAGTTTTTAATGGTTCCTTAGCTTATGTCTATGTATGAAAAAAATGATTTCCAATGTGAATTAGTTTCCAATAACCCTGCTAAACTAAACAATAAATTTTTTTTGTATTTTACCGTTTATCTGATACATTGCGTTCCATGACCATTTTACATAAATCAATATATATATAGAAACAAATTTAAGCATAACACCTAATCACATAATTATAAATACTTAATTATTTTACACATCATGTGAAGAGTACTTGATTGAATATTTTCACTAGACCAATACATATTTTGACTTGTTAAGATATGGTTTATAGTGCAAAAAAAGGAATATATGTACTCATACAATGAAATGGTTATGCTTCATAGAAGTGTATATCGATCAAATGTATTTATTTTTATTATTTATTTTAACACATAGATATTGGTACAAGGAAGCACCAAATACATATGCGCCACACAAATCTCATTTGATATGTGTAAGGGCCATGATACTACCCGGGTGCCCAAATAGAAGCAGGTGGTTTTCTTAGGGGGCCACACCCGGAGCCTTCGACCTGAAGGTCTGATCCACAAGGCCTTGGAGCAACGTAAGGAGATGAATTCCCATGGTAACCAGTGACCGACGATTGGTTCATACTTCATTTGTTCCTTTAGGATACTGGAGTCCATGTACACCATTGGTTTGGGGTCCGGTTAGAGCGCTGGACATTCGCTTTTCGTCCTCTCATTTTCGTAGACAACACCCCCGCCACGAGAAGGCCCCCAAATGTCCTGGTACGGCTGAAAGTGTATAGAATCCGCTCTCCCTCTTAAAATGCTCCCACATGGCCACGTGCATATAATCACTGCCACGGAAGTTCTACTCACTGCCTTCTCGTGGCATCGCTGTTGTTTACGAAATTGAGAGGACGAAAAGTGAATGTCCGGTGATCTAACCGGATTCCAAACCAATGGTGCACATGGACTCCAGTATCCTGCGGGAACAAATGTTGTATGAACCAATTGTTGATCGCCAGCTTCCATGGGACTGCATCTCCTTACGATGCTCCACTGCCTTGTGGATCAGACCTTCAGGTCGAAGGCTCGGGGAGTGGCCGCCTAAGAAAACCACCTGCTTCGGTTTGGGCACCCGGGTAGTATCACAGTCCTCATACATGTCGAATGAGATTTGTGTGGCGCATATGTAGTTGGTGCCTCCTCGTACCAATATCTGTGTTAAAATAAATAAATAATACCACGAGAAGGCAATGAGTAGGACTTCCCTGGCAGAGGCTATATACGCGTGTCCATGCGAGAGCATTTGGAGAGGGAGAGAGGACTCTCCCCATTCTCGGCCGTACCAAGGCATTCGGGGGCATCTATCAAATGAGAAATTCAATATTATGATTTTAAAGGTATTTCATATATTATATTAAAATATCATTTGACAATCAGTCAATTGAGGTTATTCTCAACGTCTTCAATAGTCGGTAAGTATGTTGTATCCAGCACTTCTAGCTATTTTATATTCATTTAGTGAATAGGTGCTGTATAGTAGATTATGGTTTTTTTACTTCAGATTTCATTTCAATTCTGTAGAGTTATTGTCTCCGAACTAATGATAGGGAGTGAAGTAATTGAGCGTGTCGATCGCTTCACTTATCTTGGAAGTCTCATCAGCCCTTGTGGTTTGGTTTGTGACGAAATCTCAGCACGGATACAGAAGGCTCGACTAGCTTTTGCTAACTTGCGTCATTTATGGCGTAGGCAAGATATCCGTCTATCAACCAAAGGACGGGTTTACTGCGCATAATTTCGTTCCGTCCTACTTTACGGCAGTGAAACATGGCCGGTAAGAGTAGAGGATATTCGTAGGTTACTAGTATTTGATCATAGGTGTCTTCGAAATATTGCTCGTATATGCTAGGACCGTCGAGTAAGTAATGCAGTTGTTAGGAAACGGGTACTAGGTAAGGATGGCAAATCAATTGATGAAGTAGTGAAACTTCATCAGTTGAGATGGCTGGGACACGTGTTACGTATGCCCAAACACCGACTACCTCGACGTGCTATATTCAGTGGTATAGGACTAGGTTGGAAGAAAGCTAGGGGCGGACAAACCAAAACATGGCACAAGTTTATGAAGTCACTGACAAGTGGTCTGAGTCATGACGGTAGGCGTAGACTACCTGGTTGGGGACCGCGAGATGATAGCAACCGATGGTTAGAGACCGTGAATGACATGGCTCAAAATCGTTTGCAATGGCGCAGGTGCATCCACTATTTGTGTTCTCCCAAATTTTGATCTCCTTATTCCTCCTTGTCTCTTTTTTCTCTTCCCAAATTTATTTCACTGGATCATACTCTTTAAATAACATCTCCAAACACTAATTTTCTCGATTACTGCTTATACTCTTATTACCTCTACCACTACTGGATTTGAATTGAGCACTGCATCTCTGTGCTAATGTGGTGTGGCAATTCGAACTGATGTACGTACGTACGAAGTTCTACGTTGATACTGACTGACTGACTGATAGTTATTGTCAACTGTCCTATAGATATGTTGTTATATATCAGTCTAACATGATGTATAAAAGGAAAACATTCATGTAATGAAAATGAAGGTTCGAAACGAAATTTCTGTTAGGAATTATCTATGGCAATATATATTAGCAATTACCCGAGTGTTGGATACAACACATTTATTGAACTCTGAAAACATTGAAAATAACCTAAACCAAGGACATTGATTCATTTGTTTTTGTTTTATTAGTTTAATGCTTTATAAAGATTATATCCATATCAAAAATAAATATTTTTCACAAATCCCCATCATCATCATCATCACCTGGAGACCTATTAAAGTCCAAGATGGGTGTGGAGTTTATATTATTTGTAGTTTTAAATAATCTCCTCACACTTCATAATCAATCAAAAATATGAAATAATATCATACTAGTCTGATTTAATCATACTCTAATCTTTCTCACTATTTAATGACCATTCAAGTAATACCGATTCGTTGTAAAAACTATATACAAAGATAAAATACTTCTTTTGCTTTAATAAAAATAAAACGAATAGTTAATCTTAAGCAACCTATAAGAGGGAAACAGAAAATACTAATCAGTGTTTATAATTTCATAACAATAATGACTTCAGAAGGGTTTTTTCTCGATATTATAATAATTTTAATAGTTCAGATCATGAGTCAATTGAAGCGAGATCACCGTGAAAAAACCTGGAAGCACTAAAGTTCAGTCGGGTCTGTTGTGAGATAGTAACTCATTGAAGACAATGGTGAATGTGTCGCTCAATTTCGTGGATTAGTTGAAATCAGATATTAACACCATTGAATGCTGGTCAGTTCAGTGGTCTAGAGGTTAAGTGCTTGCTCACGCTCGAGACTGATAGGTCTTGGGTTAGAGTCTCACGAGGCGGGATCATGGATGTGCACTGCTGAAGTATTTTGTAATATGCTTTTTTTGTATTTTAGGATCGATTCCAACACTTTATTATTAGCATCATTTTTCTTTAAAAAAAAAAGATAACTTATAATTGTTTAACATTCTTTGTTTTGTTTTTTTTTCTTTTTAAAACTCTTATCTATAGTCAATTATTATCTCAAACACTTCATCGTACAGAACCATATTTTTATCATTCATGGATTTCTAATCGTCCTGGTTCTATTGGTTTAGGTAAAATTGATTATTTAATTATACAAGATCGACATGATCATTTATATAAATTTGATCCAATTAATAATGTATGGTTACATTCCATAAATGGTAATGGTATCAAATTTAAAAAATATTGGTTAAATACTACTGATAATACTACTACCAGTACTACGACTACGACTACTACTCATCATCATCATAATAATAATAATAAATTACCTCATACACCAACACGTTTATTAATATTAACAACAGATTTTGAAGTATATAGTTTTCAATTATGTTATAATCAATTAAAATTATCAACAATATCTATCATAACAACAAAAGAATTAAATAAATTACGTAAAAATATTAAAAATAATATAAATTTATTTATTAATTTATTAACTAAAAGAATATCATATATACGTAAATCAACTGGATATTTATTAGCTAATGAATATGCAATTCATAATAATAATAATGATACGGAAACATTAATTGTCCAACAAGATACAACTGATGATAATATACATAAAAGATCTAATGTAAATACCTATGAAACTAATTGGAATGATAATAAACATGATTTTGTAAGTTTATTGATTTTAAAGTGTATATGTTATAACTTACAGTTTTGTACCCCCTTGATTTTTTTTGGATTTTTTGATCCCGTTGCCAATTACTTACTTACGCCTGTTAGTCCTAATGGAGCATAGGCCATAGATCAGCATTCTCCAACTCACTCTCTACTGGGCCTTCTTTTCTAGTTCCATCCAATTCTTGTTCATTTTTCTCATGTCTATCTTCATTTCCCGGCGTAATGTGTTCTTTGATCTTCCGCTTCTCCTTTGGTCTTGAGGGTTCCAGGTGAGGACTTGTCTTGTGACGCAGTTGGGCGCTTTCCTCAATGTGTGTCCTATCCACTTCCAGCGCTTCTTCCTCCGCTGGGATCTGGTTTGTTCTCTCCTACAGTAGGTTGTTGCTGATAGTGTCCGGCCAATGGATCCGAAGTATTTTGCGTAAACAACTGTTGATAAACACCTGTATTTTCTGGATGATGGCTTTCATAGTCCTACCGTTGCCAATTATTATAACTTGATTGGTTTTCCTTTGTATACACATGTATGTATGAATGAGATATTAATTTATTTTAGATGAACATCTATACTAGATTCCTTTCGCAGTGTCTATTCTACTAAACCTGAACACAATTCAGATGATCAGCAACATGGGATTAGCTTGATTAGAATGTAAATATATTTCCACACCAAAAAAAACACGACACAATCTAACAACAATGATCAATCAATAATACGTAATAATAATTATAAGGATTGGGGAATATATAACTCATCTGAAATTTGTCAAACTATCTACATATCTTACTAAGCAGACAACTAATCATTGTGATTGTCGCCCACATATATATATATATATATATATATATAATTATTATTTATTGATTGATTTAAATACATAATTATTGGTACAAGGAGGCAGAAAATAGATATGTCCTATGTAAATCATTCGATTTGTGTGAGGTTTAGGATACTGCTGGGGTGCCCAAAGTAATGCAGGTGATTTTCTTAGGAGGCCACACTCCGAATCTTTGACCTAAAGGTTTGATTCATAAAGATGTGATGAAATGTTAAGAGACGCAGTCCCATAGTAGACATGTTTCTTTAGGATCCTGGAGCCCATGTCCATCAGGGTTTTCGAACTCACCCATGATGGACTCTACGTGTTCACTAACCCGGTTAAGGCGTTGGACATTCGCTTTTCGTCCTCTCAATTTCGTAAACAACAAAAATGCCTCGAGAATGCAGTGAGTAGAACTTCTCTGGTAGTGGTTATGTGAGTGTATTTGGAGAGGGAGAGCTGACTCTCCCCACTCTTGGTCATACCAGGGCATTTGATGATGGTAGAAAAATGAGCATTACAGATAAATGTTGTATGGAAAACAATACGAAAACTTAAACGTTAAAGAAACGTAAAAGATTAGTGTATTCTCACCGCTCTGATTAGTTTCTGTTCAATTCGCAATATTACACGATCATTGTTATGCAATGACTTTGGTGATATATCTCAGTCAGCTGAGGTGAATGAGATATGTGTGTTTAACCAATGCTTATCTGGGTGCGTGATGTTAAATAAATTGATGTTTTCCTTGAATAAACATTTGTGATGCTTTTGGTGTACATTGATGAAATAATGCTTACTTTAGCTTCCCACCTCTCTTCGGACATAAGTCGTTAACAAACAATCTCGGTAAGACTATAATTTATGAACGACGTTTGAGCGGCGCTAAACTGATTCATAGAATGTCCACCTACTAACTAGGACTAAATGAGGGTGATAAACAAGTGTTAGGAATTAGAATTATGATTTGCAGTTGATGATTAGGATAAGGAATTAGATTTATGGTTTTCATCACAAACTGACATCAGCTATAATATCAAAGTGCTATTTAGCCAAACGAATCAACGAATTTCACCCCGAAATCCACTACCTGTCATGCTAAATCTAACTGGTTCGTCCCTAAATTATACTCTCGCCGGAATTTTAAGCAGCTCTGTCCTAGACTCTTTTTTCTAGTTCTCCCCAGGTACTCTCCATCCTTCTGATGTCTGCCTTCAATTCCCGACGCCGTGTGTTATTTGGTCTACTTCCTTTCTTTTTATCATAAGGGTTCCAAGTTAGAGATTGCTTTGTGAGATACTTTGATGATCTTCGCAATGTGTTCTATCTACCCCCGGCATTTTTCCCTAGTTTTCCCCTTATTTGAAAGCTGGCTTGCTGGCTACTTGGTTGGACTATATACTTCTTGAAATTTCCCTCTTTTGAAGTTTTATAGGCCGTCATTGCTAAGTCTTATACATATTTCTGCCTGTCAGCTTTGATGCTGTTTTTCACTCGTTTGTTCACCTCTGCATATTCAGTCTGTGTCTCGGCTTCCCTCGTTTTTTTCGGCTGTTGACTACAGTTTTCTTGTTTTGTTTTTTTTATCATAAGTCTTGACCATATTGTCTACAAAGTCTCGTTCTTTATACTGGCGTTTATTCAACCTCTACACCTGGTATGTTGAAGTTATTGCTTCTCTAATCCCTTCCCGATCATTCTCCATAGTGATTTCCATTTCTTACAATAGAATTTTTTGGTCTTGAAACCTGTTGCATAGAGTCATCTTGAGTTTGCTGTGTTTTTTTTATCATCGCGAAGGAAAGTTGTATTAAACTTCAGTGACTTCAGTTTCATCTTGATCACCATCAGGTGATGACCTGAGGCCATGTCAGTCATCCTCTTCATTTTTACATCTTCGATGGACCTTCTGAATTTGCTATTGATACAGATGTGATTGATATGGTTCTCCGTAATGTGGTTCAGTGAGATCCATTTAGGTTTGTTGGGGGAAATGGTATTGCCCATGACCATGTTACTAAAACCTCACAACTCATCAGTTCTATCAGTTATAATTAAAAAAAAACAATAATTTATTTTACGTTTTTAATGTTGTAATTTATCTAATCTATATGTGCTTTATTTTCTTATTCTTCTTCTCCTTATACACCATACACTTATCAGTCAGTCAAGTGTACTCCAGTTAATTCACTGGCAAGATTAAAAACAACTTGGTATCATCGTTTAAAAGGAAATTATATAATAATTGATAATACAGATTTTGCTTATTGTCGTACATTACCATTGGAAATACCAACACTTGCATTTAAAATGTCTGTAAGTACATTAGTTTTTATGTATTGTTTTACTCTACAAATCATTATTATTCACATATATATATATATACGGTTGGGGACTTGGGTTGACATGGCTCAGAATCAATCACAATGGCGTAGGCGTATACACTCATTGTCTTCCTTTAAACTATGAGATTAAAATCGCTTCATATCTTTGTTTCGACGAACTAATTCTTTCTTTCTGTACCATATCCTTATACACAATCTTTCTTTTACATATTACCACCATTGAAGTGACTACTTCCATGAATCTGGTGTTCATCTTGTTGTACTAATGAGGAATGGCAACTTGGACCGATGTATATATATGCCTGGTCCTACGTTGGTATCTGATTGACTGATATTTATGTACACCTAGGTAATGTTCCAACTATGTCCTAATGAAAAAATTGATCTGCGTATCACAAAATATGAGCTATAATTTTTAAATTTAAGTAGTATATAGTGGTACAAAAAAATTGAATGATCAAAGGTGACAACAGTTGCATAAAGTAGAATTCTTATTTATCAGTAGTCTCGAATAGAACTACTCTTTTACAACTGAAATCGTCCTAATCTCTAAATAACTTTGAATTATTGATAGTCTTTATTAGTTAATGGTCACAATTAGTTAAGTTGAATTATGAATCTATCTCTTGAAAGTATGAACAAACGTCATACATTTCTCTATGGCATGTTATATAAATTTCTCAGGGTTCAACAGCAGTCTCTTGATCCAAAAGTTAAATTATGTTTCAGCCAAAAAAAAACAACAACATTCATCTGTCTTATTCGAGATCAATTTTGTTTTCTTCATCACTTTATATAGCTCTCATATTATTTGTAATATACCCTTATCAATTCATTAACAACATAATGATTTAGTCAATATTGTCCAAATCTATTCTCAAGTATAATAGAGATCGCAGAAGTATTGATACATTATTCAATGCATTACAAGTAACAAGTTGTGTGTTAGTTAATAGTAAACTTATCTTTTGTTTTTCTTGTTTTATGTTATCTATACCAATTGCACCAGAAGTAGTAATGTATAAAAGCACCATATGAAGCACCATTTGAATCTATACAATCTCATATATTATTCACAATGACTCTTTCTTATCAATAAAAAGTATTTTATACAATATATGAAGACATATATATTGTTTTTTCTTCTTCTTATATTACACATTAAGCTGATAATCAATGACACTAGCCTATCTAGATTTCTCTTCTTGTTTTTTTTTCACTCATAGCCGGTTACATTAGTGTTGTCTTTCATCCTTGTCACTTATCACCTGACAAAATCATTAATCACAATACCGACTGATATGACCTTGTTCCTGTGCTAAACCAAATGGCATGTCAACTCTAAACCTTTAATAGTCCTGAAAATAATGACTTCTCGCCTAGCCCTGCCCGTTCAAGTCCAAAATAGAAATATAAATATCAACCTCCGCTATATGAATCTCATATTTCAGGCACATTTAGTTCATATACAGACAAAGCAGACCACAGCACACACCATAAAATGAGAAAAAATAAAAACTGTACAATATCAAGCTAAAAAATGGCTGTAAGTGTGGGATACTGTAACTAATAAATTGAGAATAATTTAAGAATAGTAAATTGTATGATCAATAGTCAACAGGTCAATTGAAGGCTTATGATAAAAGATATATATAATAACACTTTACAAATAGTTCCTGGAAGTTACCCACAATTTAATGTTCTCTGGATATAATATTTAGGCTAGGTTTACTAACTACTTATTTTGTCGTTTAGTCGTTGTATTACATTTTGTATTAAGTTCATACTCGTTTACCTCAAAGTGTAACCAATCAAAAAAGAATTTTCCTATCAGATCCCTTCCCAATTTCTGTTTAATCAATAATCATTGGTAAGATTCAAATGTGATGAACTGATCACTCAAAATACTATTTTATTTTTTGTAGATTTACCGACTCTATAAGTCACAGATTCAAAACTTAAGTGACCAATAGGATTTATTATTATTATTATTATTATTATTATTATTATTTAAATGCATAAACATTGGTACAAGGGGGCACATGAAACACAAATGCGCTACACTTCGTCTTTCGATTTGTGTGTGTAGGCTTGGATGTTTCCTGGGTGCCCAGGCCGAAGCCGGTGGTTTTCTTAGAAGGTCACTCCCGAGCCATTGACCTCAAGGTCGAATCCACAAGACAGTGGGGAAACATTAAGAGATGCAGTCCCATGGTAGCGGGTGACTAACAATAATCTCATACGTTTTTGTTTCCTGAGGATCCTGGAGCCCATGTGTACCAATTAGTTTGATATTAGAGTTTTCCAACTCCCCTAGGTGAAGCTAAAGGATCCACCAACTTGGTCAATGTGCCGGACATTTTAGTAAACCTAAAATTTCACTGGCTAAAACCATGAGTCAATTAAAGCTAGACCACCATAGAAAACCCGGAAGCACTGAATGGCCGTTTCGTCCTAGTATGGGACTCATCAGCAGTGCGCATCCACGATCCCGTCCCCCGCGAGCTTCGAACCCAGGACCTATCACTCTCGCGCCAGACGCTTAATCAACTGGATCACTGAGCCGGGATCCAACGGTGTTAATGTCTAATTTCAACCAATCCACGAAGTTGCGCCACCGTACACCATTGTCTTCAGTGAGTTCCCATCTCACAACAGACCTAGTTGAACTCCACTGGTAACGACAAATTATTCCATTAATTTTTGCTGATTTACTTAACAACAAAATAAACTACTGAAATAGGAGAGTTACGTTTTATTTGATTATCAAAAATCACCTAAGCTTATATCCACCCATGAACTGATGTATTACTTATGAGTAATGTAATCATCTCATGTTGTTGTTTGTTTGTTTGTTTTTTGTATTTAATTTTCTAGGTAATTATATTTCGCGATTACTTTGAAGGACACCGATTTCCAATTTTATCATTTTATTATACAAATTCATTAGTTCATAATAAAAATTCTTATTTATATAAATATTATCCACCTTATTCCTTGACTACTACTTCCCCAGTTTCAATGTCATTAGTAGATCGATTCGGTGTATGGATATTAAGATCTGGTAATTTGTTAACAGATATTAATATGAATCAACTGATTGATTGTCATGATCATTTATCAACAACAACAACAACATCAAATCAACAAAAGAAATTATATTTAAAACATATTAAATTATCATTTAGTGATCATTTAAATGAATTATTTAAAGATAAAAATATTGTCAAATCAACTGAATCAACTTTACAAGAATTTTATATTCCATTATATGAAGATTATTCTAATGATTGGTGTACTACTACTACTACTACTACTACTACTACTACTACTACTACTACTACTACTACTACTACTACTACTACTACTACTACTACTACTACTCATGATTGTACATTCATGACAACATCAGATCATCCAACCAATAATGATAATGCGAATATGGCAAACTCTCTAGAACAGAACAATTTTATACCATCTTCATTTATAACCGAATTATATGAATTGAATCAACATTATGATAATTGGTTAATACCTAAACATAATCATATTAAACAATCTTGGTTACAATTAAAAAATCTTATACAATTACCACAAATTCATACACCAAATGTAGAGATTTTCAATGAATTTACAAATACTACTAATTATAATAATAATAATAATGGCATGAATGATACTACTGATTATGATTCTTCAGTAGTTGGTGACTATCATTCATTGAATAATGTTGCACCTACTATTACTACTACTACTTCTACTATCAATAATAATCATAATAATAGTAGTAATGATAATCTAATGTTTATGAATTGGGATACTTTATCAACTGATTCATTAAGTAGTGAACGTGAAAAAAAATATTCTGATATTTTATTTAGATCAAAATCAAAACAAATGGATCATTTAATTATTGGTAAACGTTTATCTACAAGATCTGATTGGCATAAATTCAGCTATTCTAATTTACTTAAAACGGATGATAATAATAATAAACATAACAATGTCATTAATAATAATAATAATCATACGAATAATAAAAGTAACAGTACTAATAATCTACGTAATAGTATAGGTCAATCATTTGGTAAAAGTTATTCACATTTTTATTTATTAAATAAAAAGAAATTAGATCATTTCGCATTTCAATGTAGTCCGCATCGATCTGATTGGTATGATTATTTATTATCAACAAATTGGTTAAATTTATTATTATTTACATTAAAACAAGCAACACAATTAAGTCAATTAATTTATCAATATTCAATAAAACCAGTAAATGGTTATAATGGAACAATTATTTTATTAAGTGGACCAGATAGTGGTCGAAATTGGCAACCAATTTTAATGAGTCTTGTACAGGTAAGGTTATGTTATATATATATGTGCAATAAATATTGATTATTTGATTTACCGTATAATTATAAAACTGATTTTGTAGATGGTCAACCATAGCTACTACTTTGATTTAGTGATCGGATACGTCTAACGTGATAAATCGGTCGAACTATATTGATTGGAACACTTATTCATTTAGATCTTACTATGGCCCTCAAATGCCCTGGTACGGCCGAGAGTGTGTAGAATCCGCTCTCCCTCTCCAAATACTCTCACATGGCCACGCGTGTATAGCCTCTGCCAGGGAATTCCTACTCACTGCCTTTTCGTGGCATCGCTGTTGTTTACCAAAATGAGAAAACGAAAAGCAAGTGTCCGGTGCTCTAACCGGATCCTAAACCACTAGTACACATGGGCTCCAGTATCCTGCGGGAACAAATGTCGTATGAATCAATTGTTGATCACCGGCTTCCATAGGACTGCATCTTCTTACGGTGCTCCACTGCCTTGTGGATCAGACCTTCAGGTCGAAGGCTCGTGGAGTGGCCGCCTAAGAAAACCACCTGCTTCGGTTTAGGCACCCGGGTAGTATCACAGCCCTCACACATATTGAATGAGATTTTTGTGTATGTATTTGGTACCTCCTTGTACCAATATCTATGTGTTAAAATAAAATAATAATAATAAATCTTACTATGGCATGCAGATTGGTTGAAAATTGTTACAACAAATCAGTGAACTCGTGTTCAGAGGACAAAATTATGATGCTGATTGTATCATAGTGTGATGTCTATGAGATAGATTCATCAGACAATTCGTATCTGTAACGATGCTGTTTTCCTATCACAGAGGTCTTCCCTTTAATTAATACTTCAAATCTCCTCATACATTTTCGTTTCTTGTAGTAGGATCTCTAAAATACAGAGCTAACAGATCAATAGGTCCTCACATAAAAGACCGTCTGTGATTGGCTTTACGTAGTTATCTCTTATGGTCGATGGTCACTTTCTTCAGGTACAGTTTCACCATGTGGAGAATCAAGAAGTGACAACCACTTATACACACCTTAAAGTATTCTAGAACATCTTGACTGACTATTATCTCTACTGAGTCGCAATCAAATGGTTCACTTTTGTTTTCAACCAGTTATTTTTCATTCCACCTCGACCATCTATCATTTTGTGTGTTCAGTTGTCTGACTTCCTCCGTGACTGAAACCCATCAGTTGATAATTTTCAATAATCTATCTGAAAACCAGGTACTAATAACAACAAGGTTATCATTGCCACTGCACTACTTAGGGTGTTCCTGAGATTTCATATTACAAAAAAAGTATTGTTTATCACTTACTGGTAATTAAGAGACCAGTGAAAACAAAAAATGACACTGGTTAGCTGTTTTATCCTAGCTATAGAATCCTCATCCATTATTCCACTAGGAATGATTAGTGGCCATTCAGCAAGCCTACCACTTCAGTGCCCGTTGTTAACTGCATTTGTTGTCGCTATGGAGTGATAGAATATAAGTGGTTAATTAATGTCGTGTACTTTTTATCGGTCAATCATATTAACACAACGTGAAAAATTAGAATAAGTGTTATATTTAAGTTGTGTATACTTCATGCATACATGCGAAAAACAGAGAATATATATATTAGGATTTAGTCCAAATGAGTGGGTCAATTCTTACATGAGGATAAAATTGTATGCACTACAGATAACCAGTTAGGGAGTAGGTAAGTCCTATAAGCGAAGCATATATAAAAATGCATATGAACATACTTAACAAGGTCACAAAATAATTGGCAAGATTAATAGCCAGAATGAGCTCACATAAGCGTTATAACAGAGAATCTGCTTCAGTCAAGTCCAGAATCCTAGGGTCTCATATCGAGAATTTAACTGGCATCATATGGTTTGAACTTACGATTTCAACCAATTTTCAATACTACTCAATCAATATCCATTGCCATTAGTAGATAACCGTTTCATTCCCGATGTGGTCGAACTAATAGTTCCTCACTAGGCATCCGGGAATTACCTGTTAAAATTAGGCCCTAATTGGCATATGATTATATTTTAAAATTATACTCATGTTATTTGTTATAAGGAACTCTTGTAATATAAATTATACCATTATGTATAGATAATGTTATCTGCAGAGAACAGAACAATTCTTGGATTTGAAGATTTAATTGAACAAGAATGGATTCGTTATGGTTATCCATTTGCCCCTGATCCAACTGATTGGCATGATGATTCAGTTAGTTGTGATTATGATGACGGTGCATGTTTCGCATTATTCATCGACTGTGTTCATCAATTATTGATCCAATTTCCTACAGAATTTGCATTTACAGAGGTATGTTTTTTTTTCATCCTCACGGACATTACTTATCTTCACTCTTAAAGTGATTGTTATTTAACAGAATGTAATTTGTTTCAGTGTATTTTCTAACTATTATGCTTACCGTAGATTTGATTGTTCTTCACAACTCAGAACTATTATCGAAAACATATATTTGTATAGGTATTATCAAGGTGTGCAGTCAGAGAATTCACATATACCAATAAAGAATTACTTACTAAATGAAGACCTTCTAACTCCCAGGACAGAGTTTAAATGGTTTAAATTATTCTACGGGATAGGATTACTACTCTCATGCCCAACCCTCCTCCTTTATCCGGGCTTGGGACCGGCAGTAGCCTCAGAAGGGCTCCAGGCGGAGTTACCAATAGAGAATGATCAAATACAATTCTTTATTAACAACAATGTGGAATATACAAATCGTTACAGTGAAACTTTATTCAAATTGTGTTTACGCATTTGAGTTTCTCCTGATTAGTCGCGACACAATTTTTGTTTTCTCAATAACTACACACAAATATGTACAATTCGAAATTTAGAAGGAGAACAATTAGAATAAATCGTAAAGTTATCATCATTAACTAGTCGATTACTTATTTTCTTGCGATGTTTCACGGTGTAGGAATAGTTTAGAAGAAAGTTAGGGGCAGCCAGACCAAAACATATCACAAATCCATAAAGTCACTGACAAGTGGACTGAGCCATGTTGGTAGGTGTAAACTACCTAGTTTGGGACCACGAGATGATAGCAACCAATGGTTAGGTACCTTGACTGAAATGACTCAAAATGGTTTGCAGTGGCGCAGGTGCATCTACTCTTTGTTTTCTCCCAAATTCTAATCTTATGAATTCTTCATGTTCCTTATTTTCTTAGCAAATTTATTTCACTGGATTATCCTCCTTGAATAACATCTTCAATCACTGATCCTCCCGATTACTGCTTATACTTTTACTACCTCTACCACTATGGGATTTGAATGGACAATTGTATCTATGTGCTAATGTGTTATGGCAACTCGAACTGATGTACGTACGTATGAAGCTCTACGTTGTCGCTATCAGTCATATATATATATATATATATATATATATATATATATATATATATATCCTTTAGAGAATTAAACCACAATTTCAACCAATAACGTATATATTTCTTTGTTAGGAAATTAAGCTAAATCTTGATCGTTAGGCTCACTCATCAGTATTTCTCATTTATTTTTCAGCCTATATCTGGTTGACTTAGCGTATCAATACCATTTGTGTAATTAGGCTGTAACTATCTACTTATGAACTAGAGAATGAGTAAACTCAGAGTTTGTCGTTTATTCTTTTCAATTATCACGTATCAGATGTGAAGTAATTTAGTCATTTAATCAATGAAAATTGTTTGATATTGTATGCTAGATTTGAAATGATTGATAACTTTCTTTAGTATAGTCAGAGTAGGAATTACTGTAATACGCCATGACTTATTTACAGCTTCTTTCAGGAAATTCTTATTTACTCCTTTCACATAACTCAGGTGATCTTATCAAAAGGCGAAATTAAATAGATATTCAACGCTTAAAGTGGATCGAGATTGACAAAAAAGCATTCACTTAAAGGGTTGAGAAACTCTAGTGCCAAATCTACTGTGATACATGCTAATATACAATATATATCATGTTTAAGTTTCATATTGTATTTATATCCTTAAGGCATATTTTCTTAATAAGTTATGTAATTATTTCAATGCCAAATAAAAATGAACTTGGTAGCATAAATAGTCTTCAATTAACTGTTAATGTGACTTTTTCTAAACTTATCTCTATTGTCTTTTTTTAATTGAGATCGTGAATCGATCAATGTTAGACCACTATTGAAAACCCGGAAGCACGAGACGGCCATTTCGTCCTAATACGGAACTCCTCAACCTTGCGCATCCACGATCTGTCATGCGGGATTCGGATCCAGGACCTTTGGTCAGGCGCGCGAACGCCTAACCTCTAGACTACTGAACCGGCACCCAACAGTATTTATGTCTAACATCAACCAATCCACGAAATTGCGCGACCATCTTTCATTGTCTTTAGTGGGTAACTGCCTCACACTTGACACACATTAGCCCTACTAGTCATGGTTTCTCACTGGAATTTGTTCAAAACTGTAAAAAGTTGGTAATAATTCTAAGAAGTCATTATGTGTAGAAATCATAAGGGCTGGAATTTAAATAATTCCATCGTTTCGTCCAACAATATTGCCTGCACTTCTTTAGGGTTGTAATTGAAATCAAAATTAAACATGAATATATGACATTTAACGTAAAAATCTACACTAAAACCTTATATATTGTGTTATTATGCTGACAGATATAAGTAGTATGTGACATCAATCAGAAGTGGAATGTTTGTCAAAAGAAGATTGAATTGAAGAGAACAGAAAGAGATTGGAGTAAAAACAGAATTGGGAAAATCATAGAGAATGTAAAGGACAACTGATGGAAGATGTACAAACTATGTATTTTATGTATGGTTTTCACATTTTACTAAACCACTGTGTGATTGTGCATTAAACAATAATAAATTGCGATAGAACAATGAGAAGACGGAGTTGATCAACTCCGTCTTCTCATTGTTCTATCGAAATTTATAAAAGGGACTAATTGCTTTAAATAATAAATTGATTTTCCTCATCTAAGTTCTCATTCATCACAATATGAATTTGTTGAAATACTGGTTTAAATTAAAGACGGAGGTTCTATCGTGTGAACGAAATATACGCGTATGCAAGATTGTGATAAAATAAACTCGTTTAGGATATACTGCATACACACACTGAAATGTTAGTGTCAAAATGATAATATTTGATAAATCAATAATTGATTATTAATAAGGATGTATAGCTTGCTATATCATCCATTTCTTCACCGGGTCTCACTTTATTAGTTTCATTTACAGCTCAAATCAGGAACTGAATTAAGCCAGATAACCAGGGAGAATTAGGACAGCTGTCTCATCAAAGTATCAACAGGGTCTATCCCTAGCTCTATGGTAGACCTATCTTAGCGCTTAGTTGTCTTCCCAGTCCTTCTTATTTCTAATTTCAGTCAACTCGTGATATTGTTCGACTATTAACAACTCCCATCTATGATATCTATCTCACTCCTGACATGTTTGCATTCTACTAGTCAAAGCTTTTCACCACAACTCCATATCTAATGGTCCTGAATTCGATTATTAATGGGATCGTGGATATCCACATACTTGAGCCAAGTAATTACTTGGTGCTTCTTGGTTTTCATTAGTTGCTTAGCTAAAAGACACTTATGATCTAATCTTCAAATTTTAATTTTACTCATGTGTTTTCGAATTTATACAGTCAATCAGTAACAACGTAGAACTTAGTATGTGCGTACATCAGCTCGAGTTGCCACATCACATTAGCACAGAGATGCAGTTGTCGACTCAAATTCCGTAGTGGTGCAGGTAGTAAAAGTATAAGCAGTAATCGGAATTATTAGGGTTTGAAGATGTTATTCAAGGAGTATAATCCAGTGAAATAAATTTGGAAAGAGAAAAAAGGGAAACAAAATATTCAGAAGATTAGAATTTGGGAAAACACAAAGAGTAGATGCACTTGTGCCATTGCAAACAATTTTGAGCCATGTCATTCAAGGTCTCTAAGCATCGGTTGCTGTGGTCTCTCGGGTCCCAACCAGGTAGTCTACACCTACCAACATGGCTCAGTCCACTTGTTAGTGACGTCATGGACTTGTTTTGGTCTGGTCGCCCCTACCTTTCTTCCAACCTACTCCTACACCATAAAAACATCGCACGTCGGGACAGTCGATGGTTGTGCATACTTAACACGTGTCCCAGCCATCTCAACTGATGAAGTTTTACCACTTCAATTGATTTGCCATCCTTACCTAGTACCCATTTCCTAACAACAGAGTTACTTACTCCGTTGTCCATTCATACATTATGAAACTAATTTCATTTTTATAAACATACTAATTAACTTTATAAGATTTTCAATTTTCTGGGAATTTGTTGTGTTTTTTTTTTATAATTTTTTATCATGTTTAGGATTATCTGGTCTTATTATTAGATAGTGCATTAAGTCGAGGTGGTGGAACTCCACCATTCACTATAGAATTCTCATGTTCATGTGAAGCAACAAGGCATGTTAAAACAAAATCAATGACACAAGAACAAATTATTGAAAAATCAAATTATTTTTATAATATAAGAGCATGGCGTTCATTTCATAATTGGAAGGATATTTTAACTGATCATGGTTATCAATTACTATTTAATTGGTTATATTTTTGGCAATATAATTCAGATCCTGTAAATGTATGTTCATATTTATTAATCAATTAGATTATGTTTATTAGAAATTTCATTTTAATTTAATCTAATTTTCTATCAATTATAAGTTAGATGGTTATGTAGAACAGATTATTCATGTGAAATTTTTTCCAGCCGTTGTTGATATTTAGGACTGAGTTTTCATTATTCATTATTGACATATGTAGTCCTTGACCAAGATGATTTGGTAGTTTATTTATTTAAACACATTGGTACAAATAGGCACCAAATAGATATGCGCCACATAAATCATTCTGTTTGTGTAAGGGCTGGGATACTGCTCGAATTCCCAAACCAGAGGAGGTAGTTTTCTTAGGTAGCCACATCCGGGGCGTTTGACCTAAAGTTCTGATCCACAAAGCAGTGGAGCGACGTCAGGAAATATAGTCGCATGATAGCCGGTGACCAAAGGTAGGGTTCATACGTCATTTGTTTCTTCAGAATCGTGGAGCCTATGTGCACCATTGGTTTGTGATCAGCGTTTTTCAACTGCTCTAGGTGAATCTGGAAGATCCATCAATCTAATCAATGTGTCAAACATTCGCTTTTCGTCTTCCGAATTTCGTAAACAACACCCACGCCATCAGAAGGCAGTAAGTAGGACTTCCCTGGTCGTAGTTGTATGCACGTAGCCATCTGAGAGTATTTCCAGAGGAAGAGCGGACTTTCCCCACTCTCGGCCGTACCATGGCATTTGGTAGTGGTTTGGATTTATAAGTTTTAGTATATATTTTGGTTTATGGATAACAATACAATTCGTATCTATGTTTCATGCTACTTAAGACTCATAATCATTTCGAGACTAAGACTTAAATTTTATCTGGAATTATTCTCAACCTCAATTTTCAAAGTATGTTAAGATGTGTATACCACAACCTAATTGTTTCTTGTTGTATCATATTCTCTATAATTAATCCTTTTTATTACTATCATTAATGCCAGTACTAATATGGCATGCATCTCAGCGTACTGTCGTAGTGCGGTGGCAAAATTGAACCGATACATCTAGTGTTAGACTATTCACATTGTGTTTGACACTGGCTAAAAAAAGCAGTGATGTACTTAAGTTGTAATAGTATTATTTTCACAGATTGAAATCATGAGTCAGTTGAAGCTAGTCCACCATTGAAAACCTGGAAGCACTGGACGGCCGTTTCGTCCTAGTATGGGGCTCCTCAGCAGTGCGCATTCACGATCCCGCACCACGCGGGGCTCGAATCCAGGACCTACTGGATTCGCGCGCTAGCACTTAACCATTAGACCACTGAGCCGACATCCAACGGTGTTAATGTCTAACTTCAACCAATCCACGAAGTTGCGCTACTATATACCATTGTCTTTAGTGAACTGATATCTCACAACAAACCTGGTTGAACTCCACTGGTAACGGCTTCCCACTAAAACTCCAGGAGTATCTCTTGAATTCAGTCACTAGTGTTATTTGTCTACAAGTTTGATTTAATTTGATTATATAATATTGTTGTTTTATTTTAGAATAAATCAGATTATACTAAACTTATACATACTATAAATAAATCTACACAAATAATTACACCAATTTTATCACCATTATATTATCCACGTTTTTGGATTCATGCATGGTATCGTTGGAATCGTTCAACTCGTTTAACTAATGGTGGTGGTTATGCATTCAATGCTGCTTATTATAGAAATTTATTAGGATCAACTAGAAATAATAATAATGAACAGAATTCATTAATTATACCACGTACAAATACAACTCCTTATACTGGTTGGTTATCAGATGAATCAATTAAAAATGCATTAAATCAATTAGTTTATTCAATATCATTTGATTATTTTTATAAAAATTTATATAAAATAGCAAATTTATGGGATAATGAATATTGTGATACAACTTAATTAATAAATATTATTGAAATAATAAAATAATATACAATACTTCCCCCCCCCCAAAAAAAAATTTTTCTTTTTTTTAATTATTGAAAGGATCTATCAACTATGTATGAATAATCTCATACCATTTTTTGTTTGTTTGTTTGTTTCTTTCTTTTTTTATTTATTCTCAAATGATCAATAGAAAAATTGTTTGCCTTTTATTTTACTTCTTCTTTTTTCTTTTCTTTTTTTTGTTGAAAAGAAAAAAAGAAGAAAAAAACACACCCACCCAAGTAATCTCACAAGTTTTGATTTTTTTTCTTTTTTTTTATTTAAAAAAAAGTATTTGAATTTGTTTATTCAAGTAAAAATAGAAGGAATTTAATATTGATCTGAATTAAATATAATAACACTCTCTTTTTTTTTCTTTCTTAAATCTTTCTAATTAATTTCAGTTTTGTACCTTTTTTTTATTATAAATTTAAGGAAAAAAGAAACTTTTTTTTTAATATTTTTTATTTATCACTAATTTATTTATTTACTTGTTTTGTAAATCTAATTAACATAATTGTAATAAGAACATTATGAATATTCTAATTGAATTTATTTACATAATAACAATCTTAAAGCTCAATGGGAAGATACATGACAAATAATATCAAATGAATTGAAATTCACCCCCATTGTACTAGCAAGTGGTTATCAGGACTCAGTAGCTGAATAGATATGTCGATGGCATTTGAAGTGACTGGTACTGGGTTCAAGTCCCATCAACTCTTTGAGATGCAGGTACAGCCAGCTGACGAGTGCCAAATAGGACGAAACACACGTCAAACTGGATTCCACTGTTAGTCACTATCCATCATTGCTTACAAATTGCTTGTGAATTAAGGTAATATCGAGGCATACGCACAGTATGCATATATGCCAATAAGAGACTGATCAATTGCAGTAATAAACCTCAATGGGAACGTACAAGCCAAACAATACCAAATAAATAATAATAGTGAATCGTTAAAATTCTCAAATGAAATAGATTTCAGTTAAGGGCTTGAGTTTGGTAACATTTAGACTTCAGAATATTACTATATATAATCTTGAAATGAGTTTAGAAAACTCAGTTGCCAACTTGTGAAGTAAACGATATATCCATCTGTCAATAAAAAGATGAGTTCACTACTAATCAGTTGCCTATGTTCTACTTCATGGATGTGAAACATGTGTATTAGAGATAGAGGATATCCGTAGGTCACTACTATTTGATTATATGTGTCTATTAAGTATTTCCCGTGTATTCAGGGATCACTGAGCTCAGCCACATTATACTGGGCTAACAAAGCAAACCGAATGGCGAGTCTTTATCATCCGAAGTGGTTTACACGTGCTATGCACGCCTGATCACCAGCTACGTGGATGGTCGATGCTATCTGGTGCAGGTTAAGACAAAGTCAGGAGGAGCCAAACCAAAATGTGGTTGACTGTTGTTATGAGCTGTCGTTGGATATAGGCTACTTGGTTTTGGTCCACGCATCTACCTTAGCCAGTTGTTCGATAATTTGATTGACACAGCCCATGATTGCTTGTACTGGCAGGATCGCATCCTATGTTTTTCATTCCTGTAATCTCTTTATACCTTTTGCTTTGCCTAGTGTTTCCTACTTCTACTGCTGTGATTTGTTTTGAAAGTTTTATCTCATTGTACTGAAGTGGTATGGCAACTTGGACTGATGCATATAGCACCGGATCCTGCGTTGCATGCAACTTGTCCTCCAATTCTAAGTCACATATTTGGCTGCCAATAATTGTTGTAAGATAAGATCAGTATTAATTGGCACCCTAAGTAAATTTCAAGCAATTTACTTTGACAGGCTAAAATATATGCATTTATAGATGTTGTAGTAACCCCATTCAACTATGATATAATTTGTCTACTCACTGTAATTCAGACACTTAATTCACTATGTTAATCTCTGTTTGTATGATTGAGCGCGTGTCTACACATCAACACTAACCTATTCTCCTACTGGTTGTAACACACAGATAATCGATAATTCATCCACACTTGATTGACACTCAAATATATATATATGAATTTTTAACTCACACACACGCCCTTGGTTCCACAGTGTGCTTGCTCGCAGTACGCTTGTGGACTTTATTTACCTTTAACAATAAAAATATTTCTACAACTGGTGTTCAGGCTTCTGAATAATCTCGAGTAAATTCATAATTTTACTTGGAGATTTAGCCTACTTCGAATACTCAGTTAACGGGATATTATTTATTGGAGTCAAATATACAGGAAATTAGTTCTCATCAATGTCATGTCCGGCTCAGTGCCCGATGATTAGAAACTGCAACCCATGACGAAACCTTCCGCTCATTATTAGGAACTTCCCAGCGAGCAGAAACCACCCCTAACGACACTACGTTATATAGTGTTAATAAGTCCAACAAATAAATGGTTTGCCGCAATCTTGACAGTCAGCCATTGCCCAAACTCTTAACGCAATTAAATATGCCCCTCTTCCCAGCTGGGAGAGTAAGCGCCGGTAGGAATATTAGGGACAATAACCCAACTCTCATAGTATAGAACTTACCTTCATATTCACCCAAAAGACACGAAATACAAAATCCTGTATGGACCCAACCAAATAAACTCGCTCGAAATTATGAGATGTATAAGTGGTATTACTCTGAACGTAAAACGAAAACCTGCCACTGATGATTCCTCGTAAAAAAGACGATAGTAGCACGTCGGGAATTGAAAGACCGATGGCTGAAATGTGATATGTAAGGAACAAATAAAGCAAACGCCCACACCGTCACCTCCAGATGTTTAAGGGAAATGAGTGTGACCTGCTTATCAAGTGCGGGAGATCTGTACCAGTCCTGAGGTAAAATGCCCGTTTAATAAAGCCGTCCGAACTAGCTTCTGAACGACAATGTAACTGTCGAGTAGTAGTCAGGTCGGATTAACACAACTCACACCTACTTCACCGTGTAACTCAGTGACGAATCTTTCAGTGTTGGCACGGCCACTACCTATGCACTGTATAGTGCCTCGTGTATACACCCTCTCAGCTAGGAGAGACGAGTACGCCACACCAGGTATCACCATCAATCAACACGTGGACAGACTGTGACACCAAACTGCCAAACACACTGATAGCAGCAGACGACGTCGGCGATACCTGAGCATCATCACATTCACGTACATGTCTACTAGGAGTTACAACCCAACTGGGACCTGACGAGTCACTACACATTATATGGCGGAGCAGCTAGTGGGACAATCCAGTAGTTTATAACGACTTCATTTCGCCTGCTTTATTGCTTGGAGCCTGAACCTTTGATGAACCCACTAAGGCGTAAAATGTTTACTTGCCGTAAAAAAGACTGTCTTCTTACAAGTAAATTAAGCACCTAACCTCTACTGCGGATTTTAAGACGAAAGCGGATTATAAGTATTAAGACGACAAATTAACAGACGATATCCAGGAAGCTAAAAGACGTAATGAGTATTAATTATATTTTGGATAAAAAATGGTATGATGCGACCTGGACGTTTTTTGACTTGAAGTGAAATGCATTGTAAACTTGCGAGCCCCATTTACATTAACGACTGCGACTTCGGGAGAAACTCCTATGGTTTGACACGGATCTGAAAGAAAAGAACATTAAAAATGATGGCTAGGACAAAAAACCAGTGGTAGCCGTTACATATCGATAATCTATGAAACTAGGCACTTACACGTTTAGGCATGAAGGAAAACAAGCTGTAGGTCTCTACGGACGTTAACTTTAGAGGCTGTCTGTAGTCACGACGACGATGTCGACGGCTCACAGATGCCGAGATGTAAGGCAGTTTATGCCCGCCGCAATGAAGTCAAAGATGCCAATTTCTGAATGAAGTGCCTATGGAGACCAGTCTTTTCATAGTACATTCCGTGTGCTAGTGACGAGTCACCGCTACGGAATTTAGAGCACCAGCATTTGACTGAGCTGTTACACTGCGATATAGGATGCCGATATAGTCTAAGGATGTCGTACTTGGATGATAAAACTGATACAGTTGATAACGTATCATGGTAGCCGAGACGATACCAGACGACATGCGAGTAAGATGAATTACCTCGACCTTCTTCGGCCTTCAGGCCTGCTGCGTCCATTTGGACCACCCGGCCCACCACTCCGACGACGACAATCGTAGGCATAATGTCCGCGTTCTCCACACTCGTAACACCGATCTGTTGGGTCAAACGGTTTCATACGGCGAGAACCAACTCCATTGTCACGTCCTCCACCATTACGCGCACCACCACCTCCACGTACCCACGGCTTCTGTCGCGACTTTCCAGTGCTCAGTTCAACACGGGCTCGGACACCACACATAACTCTAAACATATTAAATGTAGCGACAAATGTCTACTTACGTTCCGTCAAGTTCACGCACTGCATCGCTGGCATCTGCAGCATCTTCGAATTCAACAAAAGCAAAGCCAGGTGGGTTTCTCGCAACCCATACGTTACGCAACCTTCCGTACTCCCGGAATATGCGTTCTAGTTCTCGTTCAGATGCCTCTCTAGGGAGGTCACCAATGTATACCTTCGTGCCAACATCTCGGTATCTTGCAGCCATTTCTTAGGGATAACTTCGCAAACGGGCACGACTTCAAACAAAGTGCTCAATTCTCAATGATGGAAGCTATCGTATATCATAATAAACAAATGTGACAGAAGTCATATTTTACCATTTAACTTTATTGCTATCACAAATATTTTGGAATTATCTATGAATACGAATGGTCAGGACATACTCAGATTCAGATTTGATTCAGATTTGTGTAGTAAGAACAGAAGGCCTACGGCCTATGTTATTTCTTTTCTAGTATGCTTCTGTGAGTGTCCAGTATTCTCTTGAAAGAGTCAATTGAAGGTGCGGACACCACTGCTTCAGGCAGCAGGTTCCAAGTATTGATGACTCGGTGTGAAAACCTGTATGTCATGGGTATTTTGTTCGTTCTTGGCTTTTCTACTTGCCTGCTATATCCTCTAAGGTGTCCCGATCTAGTGGGAAGAAAGAGAAAGAATAAGTTAGGTCCGAAATCATTTCTCAGTATTCTGTACATCAAAATTAGATTTCTCGTTAGTCTGCGATAGGAAAGAGTAAAGAGGTCAAGTTTTTCAAGCCGTTCTTTGTATGATAAGCCCCGGAGTTCCGGAATTGCTCGGGTAGTTGCCCTCTGTACAATTTATAACGTGTCCGAGTCACCTTTTAAGCAGGGGCTTCCAGCCTGAACGCAGCTCTCCAGCTTCGTTCTTACTAGGGATGTGCATACTGTGGTGAACATAGTGGTATCTAACTTAGTGAATGTCCTTTATAAAGCCCAAAGGGTTCGAAACCCCTTGGCTGCGACCTTTCGGCAATGGGCCGTCGCCTTAAGATCATTACCCACTGTCACTTCTAGATCCTTATGAGACCGAACTACGGGTAATGACATATCCCCTATGTTGTACGTATTAATCTTTGAATCCCCCAAGTGCATGTCGGCACACTTTTCCGCGTTGATAGGCATCAGCCACTCTTTAGACCAGTTTATCATATTATTTAAGTCTGCCTAAAGAGTAAATGCATCTTTGTCTCCAGTTATCACTCGCCAAAATTTTAATCGGACACATGATCGGAATATAATTCATTCTTCAATGTGTCACTGAAACATAACTTACAATGACTTTCTTTCATGTTTTATCTTGTCTGTTTTTTGACTTCTTACTAGAAAACTACCTTTCTCAGTGATTGGTCATACATCTAGTTACAATACGAGGTTCTCTTTTTCAGATTATTTTACCATTTGCTGGAAAATATTTGCTTCACATTATGAATTTGTAAAACTTTCTCTTCTGAGCAAATATCATCGACAAACTAGTAACCGAAAATATTTCTGTAGGTTGGTCACGGTATAAATAGCTATTTGCGCTTCTAATTAAAATTAATAGCTTATACCTGGTGAGATGCATCTAGAGAACAGATACTGTGGTGAGATCAGATATCAAGGTTAAAATAGCATACGTTCAAAGTCTATATTTTCATCTCAAGTCAAACATCATAGGGCTCATGTAAATGTTCTTGTCCTTTGGTGTTAATATTCATGTATATTAGAGTAAGCCTGATGACGATCTAATTGAAAACAATTGTTCGCTTATATGTGTTGTTCTAATTTTCACAATGGAAATCTTTAATACACTGAAAAAGGCGTTGCAGGATTCAAAAGGGATAGAGAATAATAAATGAGGAGTAGGGATGTCCCCCTACCAGTAAAAAATTTTCTACACTTAGATAGTTTTAGTTTTCAAGATGTTAGTACTACACATACTGTACATTTAACTTACGAGGATTCTATGCTAACACTCAGCAGAAACAGCATTTCTAAATAATTTACGGTGCCATACCTTGAACACCTCTAAGTCGTGATAGTCAGGACTTCAGGCATCATCTCTAGGCTTTCTGTTTACAACTGCTAGCCAGCGTAAAAAGATGATAGATTGCTTGAGTGAAATAATGAAAACATTTTTTAAGGTTAAAGTAAGGAGTTGATGAAGCTTTGTAAACAAACACTTGATAGGCATAAAATATTAATGTAAATTCACGACACCAACAGTCACTTTGTTTGCACTCAAATCAAGCAACAAACAATCTAACGAAGAGTAGAGGCCTACCAGATAACAAGCAAAAATTTGTCAGTACACTTTAAATTATGGATTGATATCTTCCGTTGATACACGATCTCTGCGACTTTGTGAAGTCAATCACTCCTCAAGTCTTGACAAATAATTTGCTTTCGATGATGAGGTGCTAAGTAATGGTATTATTCCTATAGTTAGAGAGCATCAATGAGGATGCCATCACAAAAAGTTTAACTGAAGTTTTTAATTGACATCGAAGCGTCAAAATAACATGGAAGTGTCTTTTAAAATGAAATGGATGCGTTTTATGATCGCTAGAGACTATGCAAGTATCCCGACAATTCGTAGTAGAATAGAGGCTTTACGCCACATTTCAAAACATTTAAAGAAGGTAGGTAAATAATGTGAGAAACTCAGTGTCTGAGGATTAGATCTAATAAATTGTTCTTAAAACATGTGATTCGCCATCGGAACATTAGAAGAAGCTTTGAATTAATTAGGGTTGTGCTGACAAAGTACACGGATTAATAATATATTCTGGTTGATAATTTGTGTTGGGATTTGTTGGACGTGGAGGAACTCTTAACATTTATCTTCGGCTCAGAGAGACCCAAACTGTTAGGTCTTTATGGCTATCCACTATTCGCATCCGCATAAGACCGAAAAGTAATTAGATTGCAAAGAACTTCATTTCAGCCTACCACAACCAACCTGCGTTTTCTGAGCCGACACGGCGATATTATAGAACAGTTTTAAGTGCTTAAGATAATACCAGCCCGTCTATCCATTATGCCAAGTAATTAATTTGAACCCTATTACTCAAGATTACAAACCTTATGCATAGCCTAGAAAATAGCTATTCATGTAAAATATGAATTAGATGATATACTAGCTATTGTCGATAATATTCAAAATGACCTAAGTGAATTGATTCCGGTGAAACGACTCTTGATGAGCACAGCAACTCGGAACTGAATTACATATATTATGATAGACTGTATCTCCTCAATGATGATGAACATATATTTCTAGAATAAAGTCGTTGTAATATCTCTTTTTGAAAGCTGAATGTGAGTGTGAATAAAAGCTCCTCCACGTACGCACTATACATTAGCTCGTTGCTTGAATTTTATATGTGAAGCAGTTTTTTATCTCATCTGTACATTCCAGTGATTCTGGTCGGGACGACCACGAGTTTTTTTATCATATTTTCTGAGTTTCTTACGTTTCTACTGAATTTATATAATTTTTTACGAACTATATCTACGTTTGTTTTGACTGTACTTCATAAACCGTTTAGAATTATTAATTTTTTAATTGTGGATTGAAGTACACTTCCAGGAATGGAAAGACTAATTGTTGTAACAAGTAATTAAGTATATAATTTTGAATACTCTTGTTAACGATGTTTTTATCGATTTAAGCATAATTTCTTAAACGAATTGTAATGGATCTTGTAATGTTTAGGTCTAGGTCTGTTTTAGTAGATCGATCTACGCTACAAGAACAGTAGACCTAACCCGATATTATGGACTTTCCATGGCATAAATACCTAATCTGTTAGATCCTATGTTGAAGCCATATCATTATCTATACTGACTAGTCCTGTCGTGACACTCAGAGTTTGTGCTGTGACGAACTTTGAAGAACACGTTTAAACTGAAGATGGGATAACATATTTGATATGGTAACCAAGATGATAAATGGGGTGACCATGCCTTTATGGCTGAACCAAACGGTCTCGATTAAGCGTTTCCGAGATCAGCACTACTGACCTTCCGCAAGCACTAAACGGTCAATGTAACTCTTATCAGTTATTGTATGTTCAGCTTCAAAGGTCGTGTTGTTAAAAAACAACATTACAGGTGATTAAATTTACAATTCATAATATTATTACAGTCGATACTTTTGTAGAGTTTAACATTAAGATTTGTAAAGACGACATCTGACCTACCTAAAAACTAGAGAATAATATTCTTGCGTTAATAAATTTTAAGTTAGCGCTTGTCTATTAATGCAGTTTGATGATTTTCGAACTGTGTCCCCTATCCATTATCAGAGTCTAATTTCCTATTCATCTGGAAGTTAGTTTGTTCTCTTCCATAGTAGGTTGTTGCTGATGTAATCCGGCAAACGGACATTGAGTATCTTGCGTAGACAATTGTTCATATATGCCTGCACATTCTTCATGATGGTTGTAGTAGTGCTCCAAGTTTCAGCTCCATACAGTAGAACCTTTTTGACATTCGTGTTGAAGATTCTGATTTTAACATTGGTTGGCAGTTGTTTTGAGTTCCATATGTTCTTCAACAGTAGGAATGCTGTCAGTGCTTTGCCAATCCTTGCATTTACGTCTGCATCAGACCCTCCAAGTTCGTCGACGATGATGCCAAACAGATAAACGAAACTTACCACCTCTTCTAGAGTTTTTCCATCAAGTGTGGTTGGGTTGGTGCTCTCTGTATTGTATTTCAGAAACTTACTTTTTCCCTTCAGTATGGTGAGGCCTATTGATTCAGACTCTGCTACTATACTGGTTGTCTTGACCTGCATTTCTTGATGTGTATGGAATAGAAGGGCCAGGTCATCTGTGAAGTACAAATCGTCCAGTCGCATCTAGACTGCCCAATGTATTCCGTGTTTCCCTCCGGATGACGAGGTTTTCATAATGCATTCAACCACCAGAAGAAAGAGAAGTGGGGAGAGTACGCAGCCTTGTCTGATCCCGGTCGTCACTTGGAATGTGTCTATCAGCTGTCTTCCATTTATCACTTTGCAGTGTAGTCCGTTGTATGAATTCTCTATGATATTGATGATATTTTCAGGTACACTATAGTGTTAAAGAAGGCTCCATATGGTCCTCCTATCCAAAATGTCAAATACTTTCTTATTGTCAACGAAGTTGATGTATGGTGACGAGATCCACTCACTTGATTGTTCAATGATGATCCGTAGTGTTGCAATCTGGTTTGTATGTAGTTGGTCCTTATGAAATCCATCCTGTTGACCTCGA